TAACAACACAAAATAATAATATTTGGAATCATCAAAACTATACAAGTTGTAGGAATGTAAAACATGCAAATACCAACTTTCCTAACATGTTAGTAGGTGGGGGTTGGAGACTCCAAGTGCCTTGTTTCTGAAGGGCAAGAAATTCATCTGACATGACATTTCTCCAATACTCATATTTGAGTGCTTGATTATAGGAGGTAGGAGTAAAATGCGAATGTGGAACTGTAAGGAGATCAAAGATAACTTTGGGTTGTTGATGACCTATTTTCAGTTGTGTTTGCATAGGATGAACACAAATGGGAGGTGGTTGAGTTTGCTGTAGTGATGGTAAAAAATGAGAATTAGTGGAATGAGAACTAGGAATTTGGGACGATTGGGGAGATTGATGAAGAGGAGTGAAACTAGATTATTGAGTGAGCTGTTGCGTAGGAATAGTTGATGGTGGACTGAAGAGCTGAGGCTTAGTAATAGAATCTATAGGAATAGAAATTGGAGTGAGTAGAAGGGGATTTTGAGGTGGATATGTGGAGGTAGTTGTTGGAGATGGTTGGGAATTATAGGGAAAAATATTTTCATAGAAGACAACATGACGTGAGACAAGAATTTTATTAGTGTGAAGATTTCGACAACGATACCCCTTTTGAGTGGAAGAGTAACCCAGGAAAATACAGTCATGAGAGTGTGGTGATAATTTATCTTTTAAAGGAGGTTGATGCCACGGGAAGCATAAGAGGCCAAATGTCTTCAAGTGAGTGTAGGAAGGAAGTTTACCATTTTATAATTTATAAGGAATATGAAGGTTGCGAGCTTTGGTTGGAAGGATGTTAATGACATAGTTGGAAGTCAAGAGAGCTTCAGCCCAAAAGATGTGAGCATACTAGTTAACGGTGAAAGACGCACCATGGCGCAAAGGTCCCATTGGAGCCATGGCACATAGCGCATGGCGCGACGCACGCCATTTTGAATATGACACAAATTATACAAGAATTGCAAAATAATAAACATGAATATGAAATATCATTAAATTGAAAGACAAACTATGATAATAACAAGCAAACAATGACAATACAAATAAATAACAATCCAACCAATTTACTCAAGCAATCACCCAAACAACTTATTTAAACAGATAACTCTCTTATACTTTGTGGAATTTTTATCTATCCTAACATATCCACTACATTCTAAAAATTATCTACTAGTTAACTAACATGCTAAGAAAATTATTATGTCCAATCAAGATATCACTTCAGTCACAATCATATCAAGTTCATTACTAAAAAGTCACTTAAACTTACATGTTCTCCCTCAAATATGTGCCTTCATACAATAAATTCCAATGAGATTATCCTTTCAACCTGTCTCTAACAATTTGAAATCTAATAAGTAGTCAATCTTCATACAACTAAAATATATTTAAATGAAAGTAAATATCATTAAGAAGATAAAAATATGCAATATAATATTTATCTTAACACTTTTAATATAATTAAAAATTAGAAAATATATTATCTTAAAAATTAAGAAAAAAAATAAAAATTATTTATAATTATATTAAAAAAATTTTAATACAATGGCGCACTATTTTGCGCTATGCACCATGCGCCATGGCGCACATGTGGCGCAAATAGCACCCGCCATTTTGAACGTCTGCGCTGCGCCATACACATGACGTTGTAGGTGCGTTGCACCGTGCCGTGCGCCATGGCACGCTATTTTGCGCCATTGACATCTATGGATGTGAGTGAGATGAGAAGCATGAAGAAGAGCTCGAGCAGCCTCAAGCAGATGGAGATGCTTGCATTTGGCGAGACCATTTTTCTCTGGAATGTAATGACAACTGAATTGATGAGTGATGCCTTGCTGAAATAAAATTTTTTGAAAGAGATGACTAGTGTATTCACCTCCATCATATGTCCGTAGTGTTTGAATGGAAGAGTTGAAGGAATTTTTGATGAGTTGATAAAAATGTTTGAATTTCAAGGTCTCATCCTTGTAATGCATAAGATAAAACCATGTATAACGAGTATTATCATCTATAGACACAACATAGTAATGAAAACCATGAAACAAAGAGACAGTAGTTGGTTCCCAAACATTTGAATGTATAAATTGAAAATGTTTAAGTACATTACCTTAAGATAAAGAAAAGGGTAACTTGTGGCTCTTTGCCACATTACAAGAAGTACATATAAAAGTAGGAGTACATATAGAAGGTACTACATTATCTAATATTCTTAAAGTCCTAATGTTGGGATGACCAAGACGAGCATGCCATGGTTCTATGGAGCGAACTATGGATTGAAGAGCTTTGGGGAGATTGACAAATATATAGTTTGAATGGGATAGAGACCATCTCGAGACCGAGCACGAAGAAGATTGCAATTGTCCGAAAGATCCTTGATAAGGAATCCATGAACTTACAATTATTGTCAGATGTCAATTTGTGAATGGAAAGAAGGTTGTGGGAAAGTAATCGAACAAGAAATAGATTTTGGAGACGAAGCTTACGATTTGTGTGTGGAAGTGGAAGAATTCCTTACCCGGTATGATGTATAGTAAGTGTTCCACCACTGGCCACTGAGATAGAATCAGTTGCCACATATGGTGTAGGTTGCTGCAGATGATTTGCATCAGATATAAGATGAGAAGATGCACCGTAGTCTAACACCCATTCAGTAATTGGAGAAGTCACCGAACTATTAGTGTTTGTGAGTAATGCACGATGATTGGAGTTGGATGAGGTTGGTGCATACTGCATATTGCAGCGATGCCAACAGTTAAGAGCAACATGTTCAAGCTTGCTACAAATCTGATAGGTCGGACGAACATTGGATGGATTTGAGAGGCGATTGTTGGAGTCTGGTGCATATTGTGTATTGTTGAAATTTGATCTAGATATGTTTGTTCTGAAGGGAGCTCCTCTGCCTCTATCTCGTGAAGTTGACCTGCCATGAGGTGTGTTAGAACGGTTCGTTCATAGAGCAGTATGATCAGAAGGTGGCAGTGTATCCTTTTGTTGTTCATTCTGTAAGTTAATTTCCTCATTGCACAAAAGTGAGTACAATGTATCCAAGCTAATTGTCTGCTGGGTAGCACAATTAACAAATTTAAATGGATTGTAAATGGAAGGCAATCCATTCAAAGTATGTGAAATAATATCTTCAACATCTATGTGACCTCCTGAAGCAGCTATATTATCCACTAGAGCTTTGATTTGAGCTAAATATTGAGTCATGGTAAAGCTCTTTCATCTGAATATGGTGCAATTTGTTCTTAAGTTAGAATTACACAGGTTCGATTTGTCAGTTGGAGACATTTCCAGGGTTATCCAAATCTCATGAGCAGTGAATAATGAGAGGATGCATGGAAGTACTTAACTAGAAATTGTAGACAGCAAAGCATAATTAGGTTTTGGTCAATAAGCTTCCAGAGACGAAGGTCTGGTGGATTCGGTTCAATCGGAGACGCAACCGTTGGAGTAATACTTCCATTTAGATAACCCTCAAAACCATTTGTAGAAAACAACTTAAAAACTTGAAGACGTCAAATAGGATAGTTTTGATTAGTAAGAGAAGTAGATACAATGGTCTTTAAATTGCTCATGAGAAACTTTAAGGAAGAAGGGATAGAAAACTCAACCATCGACGCTGAGAGAGACAAACCAGGTGGTGCGGGAGAAGAGAAGCCCTGTTCAGCCATTCGGAGAAGAAGAGGAAGAAACTGAACTGAACCTAAAGCTTTGATACCATGAGAGCAACTTGTATTTAAGAGTTAGAAACAAGCCAAGAGAGAAGAGTTAGAAACAAGCCAACAGAGGAATAGAATAAAGCTCAAAATGATTCATCTTCCTTGAAGCATCCTTGTGCAGTTTATACAAGTATATAAAGAAGAAGAGGGAACAATATCTGGACGGAGCTGCCAGCAATAGGTATTTGCAGTTTGCACAACAGGTGGAAGTGCCGCCTTAAACATGCTGAGATAGGTGGAGTAAGATAAGTAAACTAAACTTGAGGTATACTCTACAAGTGCAACTTAGATCGGAGGAAAATACAAACATAGGAAATGTAGTAGAGAATGTATGTATTCATATCATCATTTTCAGAACTACAAATACAATATATAATAAAGAGATTATATATATAGAAGAGATTACATATTTTTAATTCCTATATTAACCTCTTATAAAGCAGGGGCTGAGATTTATGTTTCATTTGGGAGGGACGACTTTTTTATTGCATTTTAAAACAGTTTTTTAGTTTAGAAATTAAAATTTTTATACTAAAAAGTTATTTTAAGAAGCAATAAAAATGCCGTCCCAAATGAAGCCTTAGGCTTCATTGCGATAGCTTTCTTGCTACTTCTTAAACCAGTTTTAAAAAATAGCAAGGAAGTCCTCCCAAACAAAGTATTAATCATCTTAGAGGTTGGTTGTTGGCGACAATTTCTGCAGATGATAGTGGCGGAGCAGCACGAAGAGTATTATGTATGGGAGTGGGCAAAGTGGTGAGCTGCAATGCTATTAGTATCATTGTCATCTATAAATTGTTGATATTATTGAGACTGCTTGTCTATGAAAATTGACGTCATTATATAATTCTTGGAAAAATTGTAATAACACCGTACTTATGAAAATTCTAATAAATCATCTATAAAATTTATTTTTGTTATTCATAAATGATAAAATATTATATTTATTAATAAATTTTTTGAGATGTCATTTTCTTTTGAAAGAATGAGTAAATATCTTTTAGGATAGTTTTCTGTTGTTAAGATAACGATAATAATTTCATTTTTGATTATTTTTTCATTATTTTTTAGATATTTTTGTAATGAAAATTTATTTTTTCAATCAGAATTGTTTGTTATTTTTTAAAAGAATATATTTTTTCTTAATAAGGCCATTAAAAAGTTTTATTATTATTTTTAACCCACTAGCTTGCTTAGTTGTAAATGGCATTCAAATATATTCATTTTTGTAATACACGTTCCATCTTCAGGTGGGATATGAACACATCTGTGGTGTTGCCGGAGGCCTCATCGGCGACAGAGGTAGACGACGAGAGGGTGATCTACGTGGTGGGTTTGCTTCAGTCAGCTAATCCTAGTCGGTGCACGAAGACCTGTCTTACTGATCTTCTCGAGCGACATAGACACGTGGCAAAAATGGCCGCTAGTGATCGAATAGGAGCAAAGCAGTATCTGGGCCACCAGCCGTCTCTGGACCAATGGCGAAAGCACTTCGGCAGTAAGTGGGATCGGTTTGCCGATAGGAAGTCCAGGTTTGACCCTTTGGCTCTACTGGCACCCGGACAAGGAATATTTCTCAGACCATCCGCTTCTACGTAATAGCGATATGGCACTGGAAATTATTTCGCTTATCATTTGTTACACAAGATGATAAGGATATAGAGAAAATTTTATGTTTTGTGTATTGAAGAGAATGGTCTGTGATATTGTTATCTTCTACAAGAAATATCTATTTGTTTTTTCAAGGAGAGTTAATAATGTTAGAAATTTGATTATTTACAATCGATTTTGCGAGTGACTGATCACAAATGGTTCAGGAATTGAAGGAAATGTTCGGCCTTATCATTTTGCTTTTGCTGCAACCATTTGGCTTTCATTTGCCGTGGCAACCTCTCTTTAGACGGTCATGGCTATAGAGAAGTGCATTGGAACAACTCTGTATATCTTTCACCATTGGTATTCATCTCAATTTGTCTTTGCCGGTAAAGAAATCTAGCCGCTTCTTATTCGACTTGATTTGCATTACTGTAGCATGAAGAAAATTTGGGAAGTCGTAATTCCTAACGGATAAGAATCTATATAAACTTGAAAAGCACAAAGCATTAAAAAGGCATATAAGAACATATATGCTAATAATGGATAACAAAGAGATTAAGATTTTTTATGGGATAATTTTCTTACTGTTTTGTACAATAAAATTTTAATATAAAAATTTATAATTTAAAAAATTTTTTACTTAAAAATTGTTTTAGCATTTTAAAATATATCAAAAAAGTTAAAAAGCTGTCTTAAACAAAACATAATTTGAAAGTGAATTGACACAACTAAAAGACAGATGAATTGATAGTTTTAAGAATTTTTAATTAACAACCATTAATCTGGAAGTCTTGGAAAAATTTTTTAATGTAAGAAAATATATATAAATTTTTTTGTTTAAAAAATAACTTCCGAGTAAGAGTAGCTTAATAATAAATTTTTTTTAATAGAAACATTAAATTCTAACACTTGATAATACTTTAGGTGATTTTAAATTAAAGCACTATTTTGCAAAAATTGAAATAGGAGAAAAAAAACAAAAATATTAAAAAAAAATAAAACAAAGAAAAATAAATCATATTTTTATAGTGATTTAGTTTCTTGGCTTATGTCCACTCCCCAAGGTTCTCTTGCTTGAGAATTCCATTAAACTACTAATTTTACTCCCAGCAGTGCAGAGAAGCCCTTTTTCTTTCACAACGGACCAAAATTTTTTCTACAAGCTCACTTCTTTGAAAAATTCAAACTCCCTCTTGATGCATTACCTCTAGCCTCCACGGCTAAACTCATGCCTTTCAACAAAGACTTCTTAAGAGTTCCTTTTGAAAAGCTCTTCACATAAAGAATCTGGAGGAGCAAGATGTAGAATAGAGAAACAACCATTTGAATCACCTCACACAATTCCCCGGACTCCCTCCAAGAATATCCTTCCTCACCTTTTCTCAATCTCACCATCACCTCGCAAGTGTTTACACAAGCTCTATCTTGAAAACTCTCTCAATCCAAAGGACTCTTTGAAAAAAAAAAAAAAAAACTACTTGAGCCAACTCCCTTTTTTTCTATCTCATGAAACCCTAAAGTTTTATAACTAAATAAAGCCATAATTTTTTAATTTCTATTGACTAGTCCATACAATATAAATATCATTTCATATAGTATAATTCATTCAATCTAAATAAAAACCTAAAATTTTTTATCTATTTGATCAAACTATATGATCATGATCGTATAGTATGATCAATTCAATGGATCAATGAATCATCCTATCTGGATGGGAATCATACAAGCAAGCTCTCTATTTTTTTTCTTATTGTATGATATGTATCTTAGTTTTCATCTGGCACTCATTGCTTCAATTAGGAAGAAGGGGATATTCACTCTAACGTGGACTTGAATTCTATGCAAATAAAAGAATTACAAAGTAATTCTATCAATGGATCTTTGGAAGACTTTAAATCGGTGTCTTATAAAAGCAAACATCATAAGAAAAAACATGTTTATTTAGCCTCAAACTTTAGACTTGCTAGATCTAGAGCTGCTAATAAATTTGTGTGTTTATGATTACTTCTATTATTTGGAATGTTAGAGATGTGGGTAATATTATCTCTCATTCTCATACTCAAAATATTTATAGGTTGCACAAAATATCTTTTTTGTCTCTTCTAGAACCTAAGGTTGATGATTCAAGTTATATTTATGTTTAAGACAATTGGGATTTGATTCTTCATATGCTAAATCTAGTGGTAAATTTTGGATATTTTGGAATAATTATATTAGGTTATCTATTGTTGGTGACTTTGAGCAAGTTTTGCACTATAATTTTTCTAGTCGCAATATGTTGGTTATGGGCTTAATAATTTATGCTACTTGTACCAAAGATGATAGGCTCCCTTCGTGGAAACAGTTACATTACTTATCTTTTTTCCTTTCATGGTTCTTGGTTTGTGGGTGATGATTTTAATATTATTTCTAATGTTTCTGAAAGAATTGGAGGTTATCCTCCTAATTTTGCTTATATGGATGATTTTAATGATATGATTATAGATTGCGGGCTTACTAATATTAGTTTTATTGATCCCAAATTTACTTGGTCTAACAATAGACTCTGGGAGAGATTAGATCAGAATTGACTAATGGTGAATGAGTGTCCTTATTTTGTAATATTTATGTGGAACATCTTAGTAGAACTGCCTCTGATCATGCTCCTTTATTTACTAAATTTAAATTCATTAATTCTAATGGGTTTATTCCTTTTTGGTTCCTAAACATGTGGTTCCAAGCTCTGAATTTCTTTATGATTGTTGAGGAAAATTTGAATGATTGGTATGCCATACTATGAAGGATTTAATGATATTTTTAGATTCTCTCTGAAACTTAAATGGATTAAACATATATTAGATGGTGGAATAAAAAAGTTTTTTGTATCATTTTTTATATTATTATTAAAGTTGAAAGAGATGTTATTCTCTTGTAGAATACTTAGATTTCCAATAATTGTCAGGATGATAAAACTAAATTTGTCAATGCTAATAATATTCTTACTAACCTTCAACTCAAAGAATAGGAGTTATGGTGTCAAAAGGCTAATCCAAACATGTTTTTGAGGGTGATATGAATACAAAATACTTGCATGCTTTAACTAATAAAAGGAAAGCTAAATCTAATATTTAAAATCAGACTAGAGTCTTGTGTTTGGATGGTTGATCAGGATTCTATTTGTGAATCAATTGTCTCCCATTTTAAAACTTTAATTAGGGCTAACAAGAGGCTGGAAAAATATTTCTAATCCCCAATTTATTCCATCTATAATCTCTTCTAAGGATAACATTCAATTCTTTAGAGATCCTACTAAAACTGAAGTGTTTAATACCCTTATCAAGATGAATAAGAATTTTATAGTTGGGCAATATGGTTTTACTATAGCCTTACATAAAAATGTTAGCACATCATTAAGGAGGATTTATTTAAAGCTATCTTGGGCTTCTTCAATGAATCCTATATACCTAAATATTTTGCTAGTACTTCTCTAATCTAAATTCTTATATGTGAGAATCCAAAAAACTAGAATGGTTTTATACTTATTAGCTTGTGTAATACTTTTAATAAAATTATCTTTAAGATTTTGGCATCTTGAATGGATCTTATTCTTTCCAAAATTATCTTTTTTAATCAAACTTGTTACCATTTGAGGGCCCAAGATTGTACTTTGATGATTACAAATATTATTAAATTACTATTTAGTTTCTCATACTCTTTATTTTGCATATATTTTTTCTCTGTGTACTAACATTTCAGGTTTAACATACTCCGAACATCATTAGAGAATTAGGGTTTAAGATTGTGTTGTATAGGTTAGATTTATTTGAAAGACTGTAATTTTATTTTATTTTTTAGTTAATCAATATAAAAAGATTTATGTTAGCATAGCAACAATGTACACACACATGAGGGACTGAAACTTAAAGTTTTTTTTTTTTTCTAAAGATCATACTAGATTATATGTATTGTATTGTATGATTGGTGTAATCATAATTGAATTAAAATGTTAATTCAATGAAATGAATTTAGAATTAAAGAATGGACTAATCATAATGTAAGAACCAAATTATACAGGATGACCAGTTAAACTCAGGAATTCCCCACCATCATTTCAAATTAGGCAATAATTTAAAATTAAAATTGTGATCTATTCATACAAGATGATTCAAATTGTATATTTTGATGTAATTAAAATTTTACCTAATTTAATCCTTGTGATTTAGAAATCAAATTAAGGCAACATTTAAGATCATACAATATAATTAAGATCATATTGAATGATCGATTAAGTGAATTTTTGGTCATACACAAGTTCTCATCTCGGATAAACTATAATTTGATTGTACTAATCATACTGTATGACCCACAGGTCATATTGGAGGAGTAGTGAATGTTTATAAACTAATTGTATAGAATATTATTTATTTTACAATACTAAAATGCTTAGTTTAACTAATTATATTGTATAATATACAAGTCATACTATGCGAACATATACAAGATAATTAAAAATTAAGGTTTTTTAGAAGCCTCCTATTTAAGCATATCTTAACTCATTCGAGAGAGATTTTGGCTGTTTGAGGGTGTGTGTCTTCTGTAAGTAAGGGTCTGAAGAGAGAGAGATTTAAGCAAGAGAGGGAGAGGTGAAGTTGCAAGAGAGGGGGAAGAGCCTTATGAGTGCAAGGGAGTGTGAGAGGGTGTTTAAACATGGTTACTTTGGCCAATATTCACCATATTCCTCCTTGTGTCAATGCCATTTTTGATGGAAATTTCGTGAAGAAGATCTTGGAGTCAAAAGGACACTGGAAACTCCACTACACTGGGTAACGTGAAATGGATTCAACTACTTAATTTTCTGCATTGGAGAAGGTGAAATCGATTTGGCTACTTTGCTGCTCCAGGAAAGGTGAAATGGATTTTAGATTCTTAGCTGCACCGATGGTTGAAGTGATTCTTTCGAGGGTTTTTCTGCCTTGCCAAGGGGGCTAAAGGTGAGACACTAAATTGTTTAGTACAATACTCAGAGAGGATGACTCCAGAGAATGAACGTAGGTAAGGTTGATCAAACCAATATAAATTTCTAATGTATTTGTTCCTTTATATTATGCACTTTATTATATGTCCTTGTAAATTTACTTGTAGTTGATTGAATTTATTTTTTAGCTGAATAATAAAAAGAACAAAAATTCTAAAAGATAAAAAATTAT